AGGCGCTCCGCATAGCAGGGTGGCAGTGCCCTAACTGCTATGAATGGAACCTTTCATTCAGGCAGCTGTGCTTTCGGTGCAGCACGCCTCTCCGCTTGGCAGAGGTCGTTTCCCGCGGGATCCCTGATCCGCGGCGCGGCGAAGAGAGGGACTCGGGCTCCGAGAGCAGCCAGGACGAGCTGGAGTACGAGATCCTTCTGGCCAATCGCGCGATGGACCAAGAAACCATCCAACCTCTTCTAGAAATAAACACAAGAAGAGGGGCGGCAAGAGACGTCGCGAAGAGGCGACGTACGGCAAGGGCCGCGACCCTTGGAGTGCTTGGGCAGACGCCCGTGGCAAGGGCCAGGGCAAGCCGAAGGGCAGAGGCAAGTCCGATGCCAAGGGCAAGCCCAAGGGGAGGGGCAAGTACGCCTGGGGCGCTTTCGCCGCGGGCATTGTTGCCGCGCTCCAACCCCGCCCAAGCACAAGCTGGGTCCCAGCCTTCCCGTGCGGGTCAGCCCGGCCGCCGCCAAGTGTTCCGCTTCCGCCGCGGACCCCCTTTTTCCTGGGTCGCGGGCTCCTCAATCGGTTGATGCACGCCCTAAACGGGAACATCAACGGTTGGTGGGGCCTGGCGGCTGCAGCGTCGGCGCCGATTGCCTTGCAGTTGCACCGCGGGGTTGTGCATGTTGTCGAGGACTCCATGCACGCGGTTGCAACGGTTTCGGCCGACGTAGTCGAGGAAATCGGTCATGGGGCCAGGCGGACCGTGCGGGTCGCCGGAACAGCCATCACTCTGGTAGTAGTGATTTTGTGCGGCGCTGTTCTGTGGTACGTGAGTCGTGCCGTTGCCAATCGCATTGCGCATATGCGACATGGCAACACCGCGGCCCCTGAGGCGCGGCTGTCTCAGCTCCTTGGCTCCGAAGCGACGTTTGAAGTCGCGAGCTCCAAGAAAGGGGTGACCCATAAGGTTTGGGTGCACCTCAAGGAGGAGACAGCTGCCTGTGGCTGTCGTGCTTACCTGGCAGAAGGACGCTGCGGGCATTGCGATGCCGCAATGGACACCGCTCGTTCCCTAGGGTTTTTGCACGCGGCCCAGCGAGGCGCGGGTCCTGCGCTCACAGACTCCATTCGGAGTACCGCCTCCGAAGCCCTGGCTAAGGGTAAGGTTGTGTTGGGTTTGGGGAACAGTGAAGGATGTTTCTCCCAACTTGCGGCCAAGAGCCGCGGGCTCTCCTGCTTTCAGGGGCTCACGGGTCGTGACCTGGCCGCGGCCCCAGCAGATGGAGCGAGCGCAGCCCACGCACAGTCCGGCTCCGTGCAACGTGCCGCCACTGCCACTGTGGCGCGCACGCCAGGCCGGAGGAACAAGGGCCCAGCCCCCGCTAGGAGTTCTCCAGTCAAAGAAGCGGAATTCCTTGCGGGCGGGCCATACGTTCAGGCCGCCCAAACGCTGCTTGGGTCTGGAGCAGCAGAGGATGTGATCTACATCCGGGCGTACAGCTTAGATTGCCCATCCTGCATCGAGGCAATCGAAGCGTCGCTTAGCAAGGGCGCAAGCGTTCGGATTGTCGCCGACATGGGGCAATGCCACCGCACCAAACTTCAGTGGCAAGCGTTGAAACGCTTGGCGGCTGCAGGTGCCGAAGTGAAGGTGGGTTGTGGCACATCCGTGCGCGACGCCTATGCTCGCGACGGCCGCGGGGCTAAGGTAGGCACCGGGATTCAAGGGCTGCACCATGCCAAGGCCCTATGCCTACTGCGGCCTGATGGCGCGGTGGTGCTGATTGGGAGCCTCAACTTTACCACAAGCAGCAAAGCCAATGCGGAGGCAGGGCTTAAGCTTGAGGTCCCCAAGACGCACCCAGTCGCACAGTCCTTCATCGAGGAATTCCAGAGGGTGTCGGCGGCATTCTCCCTCGATGAGGCGGTTACAGTTGGAGCGAGCCAGTAGCTCCAACGTTGCTGGCAACGCCACTCGTGCCCCTAACACTGCTCCACAGGGTATCGAGTAGGCTGCGGCCAGTTGGCGCGGCGTGGTATGCATCCACGCATTATCAGAGCAGGCGTTGCAGCACGGCACGTTGCTTCGCCAACCTTTTGCACTTTCTTTTGCTTGACTGCGGGCGAAAAGCCGCGGCAGGTTGGAAACCTGCCCATTTTGCTTCCCCGCACCTTTCTCCTTCGCCCTGCCTGTGGCCCCTCGTGCCGAGGGTGCTCTTTTGCAGGTGCTGCGGACCGTGTCCTGGTCGCGGCAATGCGCTCGCCGAAGCGCGTGTGAGTTGCATTGCCCGCGGCACGAGCCATGTGCGCGGCTCTCACTGAGTCTGGTAGCCCGTAGGGTAGTTCCGGATAGGTGAGTAGCCGTAGCCGTAGCTTAGGACCGGTAGTGTACAGTGTACCATTTGTACCATAGTCTGCGTACTGGCAGCTAGAGACCAGCTCGAGGATTCAAGAGCCTCGCCCACCAGCAAAAGGGTGAGGACCTCCTGGGAAAGGGTGATTAAGGGTTGCT